CAATTGTAGCCAAAGGTTAGAGAACAACTTGACGTATGAGTAATATTCTGCACTTTACAAAAGAGTTACATAGAAATGTAGTTAATTGTTTGCTTAATAATTAGCATACTTTAGGGTGCTAATAAGTTCTAGTTAAGCAGAACAACTCTACGTATGATGAATAACGGTATTTAGAATAAGCACCAACAGTAAGGCAATTAACTTAAATAATTTGCATATTTTAAGGAGCTTTTATGCTAAAATGCTAAAAAATTTTGAATCGAATTTTAAAAAACACCAAAGAGGGTTAATAATTATACAATAAAAACTTATTATTAAGTTTATTGTTTAAATATAAACCACTAATCCCTTCAGAATTCTAAAAAAACATTTGACTTTAATCGTTTTTGTCTAAAACATTATTTAGCGAGTAGAAAAAAAAATTAATGACTCTGTATTAATGACAGCGTTGGCGATTAAATAATTTATCATTTTATTTGATTTTAGTTAACAAATATGTATACTAAACAAATAACAAAAAAAGTCAATATTTGTTAGTCTTTAGTTAACAGTACTAGTAAATTATTAATTATTAATCTAGATTATTTTCAATGGTGACAAAACTAATTAAACACCATGTCTATTAAAAGGAATATGTGTTAAAACAAAGTTTCGTGTTTTGTGGAAAATGGATAGTTTTAATTATGATAATTTTTTCATTTGTTATTCATCGGTAAATTTCTTTATCAATTGTTTACTAAAGTAAAAATCACCAATTCGCTTCTCCTTTTTAAACCCACTGTAGTATTACATTAGCTTTTACACACTTCTGTACACACACACATGTATGTATAAGAGCTACCTGCCCCCTTATCATTTGATTTAATAGGTCCCATTACAAAAGGAATAAATATTCCATGAACTTAAATTAATTGTCTATTAAACACATCGTGCTATTCAATAAACTGTTTAAACCTGGAAAGGACATTTGAAATTTTGAAATAGGATTCAAAATACTACATTAAATTCCAATCTATACAAACTATAGACTAGACTATAGACTAGGCTATAGACTAGACAACAAACCTGTATATAGACTAGACTACGGACTGGATTCGCCTATAAATTATAAACTAGACTATAGACTAGACTATAGATTAGACTATAGACTAGACTATAGGCTAGACTATAGACTAGACTATAGATTAGACTATAGACTAGACTATAGACTAGATTATAGACTAGACTATAGACTAGACTATAGGCTAGCCTATAGACTAGACTATAGACTAGACTATAGACTAGATTATAGACTAGATTATAGACTAGACTGTAGACTAGACTATAGACTAGACTATAGACTAGACTATAGACTAGACTATAGACTAGACTATAGACTAGACTATAGACTAGACTATAGACTAGACTATAGACTAGACTATAGACTAGACTATAGACAAGACTATAGACTAGACTATAGACTAGACTATAGACTAGACTATAGACTAGACTATAGACTAGACTATAGACTAGACTATAGACAAGACTATAGACTAGACTATAGACTAGACTATAGACTAGACTATAGACTAGACTATAGACCAGAATATCGACTAGACTATAGACTAGACTATAGACTAGACTATAGACTAGACTATAGACTAGACTATAGACTAGACTATAGACTAGACTATAGACTAGACTATAGACTAGACTATAGACTAGACTATAGACTAGACTATAGACTAGACTATAGACTAGACTATAGACTAGACTATAGACTAGACTATAGACTAGACTAATAGACTAGACTATAGACTAGACTATAGACTAGACTATAGACTAGACTATAGACTAGACTATAGACTAGACTATAGACTAGACTATAGACTAGACTATAGACTAGACTATAGACTAGACTATAGACTAGACTATAGACTAGACTATAGACTAGACTATAGACTAGACTATAGACTAGACTATAGACTAGACTATAGACTAGACTATAGACTAGACTATAGACTAGACTATAGACTAGACTATAGACTAGACTATAGACTAGACTATAGACTAGACTATAGACTAGACTATAGACTAGACTATAGACTAGACTATAGACTAGACTATAGACTAGACTATAGACTAGACTATAGACTAGACTATAGACTAGACTATAGACTAGACTATAGACTAGACTATAGACTAGAGCTATAGACTAGACTATAGACTAGAACTATAGACTAGACTATAGACTAGACTATAGACTAGACTATAGACTAGACTATAGACTAGACTATATAGACTAGCTAGACTATAGACTAGAATATAGACTAACGACTATAGACTAGACTATAGACTAGACTATAGACTAGACTATAGACTAAATTATAGACTAGACTATAGACTAGACTATAGACTAGACTATAGACTAGACTATAGACTAGACTATAGACTAGGCTATAGACTAGTCTATAGACTAGACTATAGACTAGACTATAGACTAGACTATAGACTAGACTATAGCTAGACTAGAGACTAGACTATAGACTAGACTATAGACTAGACTATAGACTAGACTATAGACTAGACTATAGACTAGACTATAGACTAGACTATAGACTAGACTATAGACTACTATAGACTAGACTATAGACTAGACTATAGACTAGACTATAGACTAGACTATAGACTAGACTATAGACTAGACTATAGACTAGACTATAGACTAGACTATAGACTAGACTATAGACTAGACTATAGACTAGACTATAGACTAGACTATAGACTAGACTATAGACTAGACTATAGACTAGACTATAGACTAGACTATAGACTAGACTATAGACTAGACTATAGACTAGACTATAGACTAGACTATAGACTAGACTATAGACTAGACTATAGACTAGACTATAGACTAGACTATAGACTAGACTATAGACTAGACTATAGACTAGACTATAGACTAGACTATAGACTAGACTATAGACTAGACTATAGACTAGACTATAGACTAGACTATAGACTAGACTATAGACTAGACTATAGACTAGACTATAGACTAGACTATAGACTAGACTATAGACTAGACTATAGACTAGACTATAGACTAGACTATAGACTAGACTATAGACTACTATAGACTAGACTATAGACTAGACTATAGACTAGACTATAGACTATAGACTAGACTATAGACTAGACTATAGACTAGACTATAGACTATAGACTAGACTATAGACTAGACTATAGACTAGACTATAGACTAGACTATAGACTAGACTATAGACTAGACTATAGACTAGACTATAGACTAGACTATAGACTAGACTATAGACTAGACTATAGACTAGACTATAGACTAGACTATAGACTAGACTATAGACTAGACTATAGACTAGACTATAGACTAGACTATAGACTAGACTATAGACTAGACTATAGACTAGACTATAGACTAGACTATAGACTAGACTATAGACTAGGCTATAGACTAGGCTATAGACTAGGCTATAGACTAGACTATAGAATATAGTGTAAACTAGACTGTAAATTAGACTAGATTATAGATTATAGACTAGAGTAGACTATAGAGTAAACAAGTAAGTAAACTAGATTCTAGAGTAGACAATATATGTGGCTATAAGTTAGTTTTCTAATATCTAAAGAAAACTGTTGTACTAGAAAAAATATTTACAGAAAACTGTTTTACTTGCATAAATATGTATAGAAAACTGTTATACTAGAACAATTATTTACAGAAAACTGTTATACTATTACAAATATTCATAGAAACTGTTATAATTGTCTAAATATCTATAAAAAACTGTTATACTAGAACCAATATCTATAGAAAACGGTTATATTAGTATAGTTATGTTGAGAAAACTGTTATACTGAGACAAAAATTCATAGAAAACTGTTATACAGAGGTAATTATTGAGAAAAAAACCGTAAATTTCAAAATTTTAGTATAAAAATATTTTTCTAAAAATTCTTTTATAAAAATCCCTAAATCCTTGAAAAACAAATACATCTGATTATATGGCAACTTTGTGAGATTAAAACAACATATAAATATTTACATACCAACTGACACATGTATGCATAAATAAACACACCCTTACACATAAATAACTGTAGCAAGAACGACAACAACAACATAAATTGACCTCCCTACTTAACCAACAGCAACTGTAATAAATAAAATGATTACACCAACCAACCAACCAATCAACCACTCACCACTTTAACCACAAAAGGGACCAAAAACACAAGCGGGTCATTCAGAATAATCACATTTAATATTAAATTAAATAATATTTTATGACAATGAATGTAAAATTATTTACATTAAATAATAACTGACAACATTTAAGGAGGAATTTTTAAATAATAAATAACTTCCTACGTCCTTTTTCTATATCCTTTATGTGTATTAACTGTTAATATTAAAGTTTAAAGTTGTCACAAAAGTGTCAAAGAAAAATCAATAACGATTACAGGTCATTCAGGTTCTTTAATTTGTCCTGCACATGCCAGACACGCTAATTTTTTTTTATTTAAAAATTAATGTAGATTTTTTTGTAAAAACCGTTACTAAAGGTTATTTTGTGTTAGACAGGTTACAAGGCGCCATTGTGGTTTTTTCCAACATTAAATGATGATTGTGTTGCGGTTGTTTAGGGAATGGTAATGACAAGTGTTGAGTGGGAAGGAGAGGGAGAGAGAGAGAGAGGAGAGGGTGTGAATGTGTAGTTTTTAATGAGGTGTTCCCTTTATTGTTATACGGGGAGTTAAGTGACAATTGTTTTGATTAACTTGAAACAAACTCCCCCAGGAATGTAATGACCTCTGACAGGCGGTTCATTTTAAAACAACAGGGGAGTTTTTGTTTTCTAAAGTGTTTTTTGTAAGGATTCAAAAGTATTTTTTAAAGTTCATAGGGGAATGTAAAGTTAAATTATTTAATCTAAAGCAAATTTTAATAAAAAAATCTAATTTTATACTTTTCTTTCCAGGTCTTGGTTGAAAAATTACTACGCTCTTGTCCGGATATAAAAAATATTTATCTACTGATACGGCCCAAAAGAGGGCAAGGAGTCTCTGCTCGACTTGATGAACTGCTAGATGCACCGGTAAGTTTCTTTAGTTTCTATTATAATCGCATTTCTTATACATAATTTTCTTTTTTAATAAACGCAGCTTTTTGAAAAACTAAGAAGAGAAAAACCAAAGGATTTGAGTAAAGTAATTCCTATATCGGGTGATATAACATCCGAAGAATTGGGCATTTCGGAAAGTGATCAGGTAAATAATAAATAATGATGTAATTTTTCACTTAAAGGATTTAAATTTTTATTTTCTTCGCTTCTCTTTACAGGCTATATTGTGTCGCAATGTATCGATTGTATTCCATTCAGCTGCCACTGTTAAATTCGATGAAAAGCTCAAATTATCAGTTACAATCAATATGTTAGGGACAAAACGTTTGGTTGAATTATGTCATCGTATGATGTCTTTAGATGTGAGTATGAAAATTCAAAAAAAAAAAAACAACTTATAATGAAAGAAATCCATAGATAACTAAATTAAGGGACAATTACCCTAATTATATAGATAGATAGGTCCATGGTATATAGTACAGTCTTTGGAGTGGTCTATAGGGTCCACTAAAGATTGATTTATAGTCTTTATTTCAGATTTATATACAGCCCATAATCTAATCTATAGACTAATAAAAATCCAGACTATATTGGTCTATAGTCAACACTATAGACTGGTCTGGACTATAGAGTGGTCAGGTCTATTGACTGGTATATAGTGAAAACTATAGACTAGTATACAGTCAAGACTATGGACTCGTCTATAGTCCATAGTCTTGACTATAGACTGATCTATAGTCAAGTCAGTAGACTCGTCTACATTCAAGATTAAAGATTGGTCTGTAGTCAAATCTAAAAATTTATCTATAATCAAGACTATAGACTGATCTATAGTCAACACTAAAGACTGATCTATGTTTAGTTCAGTTCTAGTTTTGTTCTAGTTCTGTTCTAGTTCTGTTCTAGTTCTGTTCTAGTTCTGTTCTAGTTCTGTTCTAGTTCTGTTCTAGTTCTGTTCTAGTTCTATTCTAGTTCTGTTCTAGTTCTGTTCTAGTTCTGTTCTAGTTCTGTTCTACTTCAGTTCTAGTTCTGTTCTAGTTCTGTTCTAGTTCTGTTCTAGTTCTGCTCTAGTTCTGTTCTAGTTCTGTTCTAGTTCTGTTCTAGTTCTGTTCTAGTTCTGTTCTACTTCTGTTCTAGTTCTGTTCTAGTTCTGTTCTAGTTCTGTCCTAGTTCTGTTCTAGTTCTGTTCTAGTTCTGTTCTAGTTCTGTTCTAGTTCTGTTCTAGTTCTGTTCTAGTTCTGTTCTAGTTCTGTTCTAGTTCTGTTCTAGTTCTGTTCTAGTTCTGTTCTAGTTCTGTTCTAGTTCTGTTCTAGTTCTGTTCTAATTCTGTTCTAGTTCTGTTTTAGTTCTGTTCTAGTTCTGTTCTAGTTCTGTTCTAGTTCTGTTCTAGTTCTGTTCTAGTTCTGTTCTAGTTCAGTTCTAGTTCAGTTCTAGTTCTGTTCTAGTTCCGTTCTAGTTCTGTTCTAGTTCAGTTCTAGTTCATTTCTAGTTCAGTTCTAGTTCAGTTCTAGTTCAGTTTTAGTTCAGTTCTAGTTCAGTTCTAGTTCAGTTCTAGTTCACTTCTAGTTCTAGTTCAGTTCTAGTTCAGTTCTAGTTCAGTTCTAGTTCAGTTCTAGTTCTAGTTCAGTTCTAGTTCAGTTCTAGTTCAGTTCTAGTTCAGTTCTAGTTCAGTTCTAGTTCAGTTCTAGTTCAGTTCTAGTTCAGTTCTAGTTCAGTTCTAGTTCAGTTCTAGTTCAGTTCTAGTTCAGTTCTAGTTCAGTTCTAGTTCAGTTCTAGTTCAGTTCTAGTTCAGTTCTAGTTCAGTTCTAGTTCAGTTCTAGTTCAGTTCTAGTTCAGTTCTAGTTCAGTTCTAGTTCAGTTCTAGTTCAGTTCTAGTTCAGTTCTAGTTCAGTTCTAGTTCAGTTCTAGTTCAGTTCTAGTTCAGTTCTAGTTCAGTTCTAGTTCAGTTCTAGTTCAGTTCTAGTTCAGTTCTAGTTCAGTTCTAGTTCAGTTCTAGTTCAGTTCTAGTTCAGTTCTAGTTCAGTTCTAGTTCAGTTCTAGTTCAGTTCTAGTTCAGTTCTAGTTCAGTTCTAGTTCAGTTCTAGTTCAGTTCTAGTTCAGTTCTAGTTCAGCTCTGGTTCAGTTCTAGTTCAGTTCTAGTTCAGCTCTAGTTCAGTTCTAGTTAAGTTCTAATTCAGTTCTAGTTCTGTTCTAATTCAGTTTACTTCTAGTATAACAGTTTTTCATAGATGTTTGTTGCTGTATAACAGATTCCTTTAGATACTTGTGGTACTGTAAGAGTTTTCTCTAGGTTATTGTATCATTATAACAGTTCTCTATAGATATTTTTGTATTAGTATAACAGTTTTTCCTTTGACTTCTGTATCTGTATAACACTTTTCGTTAGATATTTGTATTAGTATACCAGTTTAGTTTAGTTTAGCTATTTGCGTTATTATAACATTTTTCTTTAGATAATTGTGTTTGTATAACAGTTTTCTATGGAAATTTGTATCAGTATAACAGTTTTATTTACACTTTTATATCAGCCTAACAGTTTTTTTTAGATATTTGCAGCAATATAGCAGTTTTTTTTTAGATAATTGTATTAGTATAATTTTTTTTCTTTAGATTATTTTATTTGTATTACAACTTTGTATAGATATATCTTTCAGTATAACAGTTTCCTGTATTTTTATGTAAAATATCTCCTTAATTTGTTTATTTTATTCTTCTCCTCTAGGCACTAATTCATGTATCCACTGCCTATTGCAATTGCGATAGAACCGAAGTATCTGAGGTTATTTATGCACCACCCTATAATCCCGATGATATTATTTCTTTAGTTAATTGGCTTCCGGAAGATACACTCGATACGGTAAAAAAATACTGCTTTCCAGCTCGTGAAACAATTTAATAAATCTTTTTTCTCTATAATTTACAGCTAACTCCCTCACTGATTGGTAAACGCCCAAATACTTATACATTTACAAAAGCCTTAGCTGAACATATGCTACTCAAGGAGGCTGGTAATCTTCCAGTTGCCATTGTGAGGCCATCTATAGGTAATTTTTGTTTTTCTAATTCTAATTACAATTCATTTAATTAACTTTTTATGTGTATTTATAGTGACTGCCAGCTTAAATGAACCTTTTGCCGGTTGGATTGATAATTTTAATGGTCCCACTGGTCTCTTATCTGCCATGGCCAAAGGTCTATTTCGCACAATTGTGTGTGAGAAAAATTGCATTGCCGATGTGGTACCTGTTGATATTGTGATTAATCTAATGATAACGGCTGCATGGCGCACAGCATCCCATAAAACTAATGATAATTTATTAATTTATAATTGTTGTACCGGTCAACGACATCCCATAACGTGGGGTAAATTTGTTAACTATGCCATTGATCACGTTCGTAAACATCCATTAGGTAAGTGAGAGGGGGAGTGATTCCTTTTTTATTGTAATTAATATTTTATTAATTCTTGTTTTTTTTTTATCATCTTCCAGAGGGTTGTGTTTGGTATCCTGGTGGCGTTTTACGTCGTAATGTTACCATTAATGCTGTACAGGGCTTTATTTTACATTATATACCAGCTTATATATTGGATATTATTGCACGATTTGCTGGTAAAAAACCATTGTAAGTAGAGGAACCCATTTTTAAGAAGTTATTCTTTAAAAGTATAACAGTTTTCTGTTAGTTTGTATTAGTATAACAGTTTTTTATTAATATTTGTATCGTTATATCAATTTTTAATTAATATTTGCATCAGTATAAGAGTTTTCTCTTAATATTTGTAACAGTATAACAGTTTCTTTACTTATCTTTTATGATCCGTGTCAGTATAACAGTTTTTTATTAATAATTGTATGAATATAACTCTTTTTTAGTAGATTTGATACAGTTTCAGTATTTTCTCTTAATGAAAACTGTTATACTGATGCAAATAGTGATACAAAACTGTTATACTGACTCATACATATATTGATAGAAAACTGTTATACGGAAGAATCTGTCTATAGAAAATTGTTATACAGATGAAAATATGTGTGAAAAACTGTTATACAGATAAAAATATGTGTGGAGAACTGTTATACTGATGGAAATATCTATAGAAAACTGTTATACTAATGATAATATCCATAGAAAACTGTTATACTGATCAAAATCTATAAAAAAAACTGTTATACCGATGAAAATATCTATAGAAAACTGTTATACTGATGAAAATATCTATAGAAAACTGTTATACTGATGATATCTTTAGAAAACTGTTATACTGATGATAATATCTTTAGAAACCTGTTATACTGATGATAATATTTTTAGAAAACTGTTATACAGGTGAAAATATCTGTGGAAAACTGTTATACTGATGATAATATCCATAGAAAACTGTTATTTAGATGAAATTCTATAAAGACAACTGTTATACCGATGAAAATATCGATAGAAATCTGTTATACTGATGAAAATATCTATAGAAAACTGTTATAGAAAGCTGTTATACTGATGAAAATATGTATAGAAAACTGTTATACTAATGAAAATATCTACTGAAAATTTCTATACTGAGTAAAATATCAACGAAAAACTGTTATACTGCTGAAATTATCTATAGAAAACTCAAATACTGATAAAATCTCTTTAGAAAACTATTATACTGATGAAAAATCTATATAAACTATTGTACTAATGAAAATATCTGTAGAAAATCTATAGAAAACTGTTATACTGATGATAAAATCTATAGAAAACTGTTATACTGATGATAAAATCTATAAAAAACCGTTATACTGATGATAAAATCTATAGAAAACTGTTATACTGACGAACATATCTATAGAAAACTGTTATACTGATAACATCTATAGAAAACTGTCATACTGATGAAAATATATATAGAAAACTGTTATACCGGCAATAATATCTATGGAAAACTGTTATACTGCTGAAATTATCTATATAAAACTGTAATACTGATGAAAATATTTATAGAAAACTGTTATACTGATGAAAATGGCTATATAAAACTGTTATACTGATGATAACATTCATAGAAAACTGTTATATTGACGATAATGTCTATAGAAAACTGTTATACTGATGAAAATATCTATAGAAAACCGTTATACTGATGATAATATCTATGGAAAACTGTTATACTGATGAAAATATTAATAAAATACTCTTATTCTGATGTAAAGATCTGCCATTCTGATGATAATATTTATATGCAACTGTTACTGATACTGGCTATCTATAGAATACTGTAATACTAATAATATCTATAAAAAACTCTTATATTGATGAAAAAATCTATAGATAACTGTTATACTGATGAAAATCTTTATGAAAAACTGTTATACTGATGTAAATATACATATATAGAAAACTGTTACTGATGCAAGTAACAACAGAAAACTATTATACTGTTCAAAATATGTAAAGAAAACTGTTATACTGATAAAAATTACTATAGAAAACTGTTATACTGATGAAAATAACTATAGAAGACTGTTATACTTTTGAAAATATCCATATAAAACTGTTATACTGATCAAAATATGTAGTGAAAACTGTTATACCGATGACAATATCTATAGAAAACTGTTATACTGGTTATAATATTTATAGAAAACTGTTATACTAATAAAATTATCAATAGAAAACTGTCATACTGAATAAAATATTTATAGAAAACTCTTATACTGGTGTAAATACCCATATAAAGCTGTTATACACAAGAGAAAACTATTATACTGGAGGAAATATCTATAGAAAACTGTCATACTAATACAACTACTTATAAAAAACTGTTATACTGATAAAATTTTTGAAAGAAAACTCTTATACAATTAAAAATATTAATAGAAAACTGTTATAAAAAACCCCGTTTTACTGACAAATCTCTCATTATTAATCTTTTTCTGTTTTTCCCCCCTTTTTCTTTCACAGTGTTGTTAAAGTCCAAAATAAAATCGCCAAAGCAGTAGATTGTTTACAATACTTTGCCACCCATCAGTGGCAATTTAAGGATGACAACGTCTATGCTCTCTTACAAACCCTCAGTCCAAAGGATCGCGAGACATTTGTATTCGATGTGACCACAATTAATTGGGAAAAATATATGGAACGATATGTTTTAGGTTTTAGACAATTTCTATTTAAACAAAAACCACAATCATTACCTGGCAGTCGAAAAAGATTATTAAGGTGAGTGGAAAGGAAATTGAAACAAAAAAATTAAATTAATAAATTATTATTTTTTTTGTTGTTTTTTTTACAGATTGTATTATATAAATCAATTAACAAAATTATTAATGGTCGTATTTACTTGGCGTTTTCTAATGTCACGTTCAAAACGTTTAAATGCCTTGTGGTCAACATTTTTACAAAATCTTTTTAAAATAATGCGTCTTATGCCATTTTTGTAATATATTTATTATTTTAATTATTATTATTATAATTATAATTTCGTAATTGAAAAAAAATTAACAAAAAATTTAACAAAAAAAAATCTACAAAAAAACAAAAAAACCACATAATTAAGCATATTATATATAAATATATAAATATTAATATATAAATATTATATATAAAGAGAACATTTTGAACAAAAAAATATTTGATTAAGAAACTCTTGTCTTTTTTTATTATTATTATTAATTATAATTAATTATTATTTTGTTTTATATAATTTATGCAAAGAAACAAAAAAAAAACTAACTTAATTAATTGTTTATAAAAAAATGAGTAATTAGTTATTAATTATTATTAATATTTTAAAAAATTTTTCATGTTTTTTTATAATTTTAATTATTATTTTTTATTATTTCGTTATAGTTTAAACGAATAAATTTTTGTTTTAGTGAGGGTTTTAAAACCATTAATAGTTTTGGTCTGTTTTTTAAATATAAAATTGTAAAATTATTAAATATTTTATTAGTTTTTAGGTTTTTTTTTAACAAAAGGTCAAAGGTTAATAATTTGTTTTTTTTTCTATAAAAAAGCAAAAAAAAAGTCTGGGAAAAGGCAATTTTGAAAAAAACGTTCTTAAATAAACTTTATTAAAAATAATTTGTATAAAAGTTTTGTTTAAAAAAATTATTTTAAAAATTTTTAAAAAATTTCTTTTGAATATTTGAAAACTTTTCTCCCTTTTGCTAGAAATATTGTAATTATAGTTTCTTTCTTTTCCTTTAAGTGATAAATTTTAATTTTTTTTTAACAAAAAGTAAAAAACTCTTTAAATTAAAATAAAACACAAGCAATTCTTCTTAAACTATTTCTAAAAACTCTAAAAAAAAAACAAACAACATTTAGCATTAGTCCTAAAAATTTATATGAAAAACAAAAAAAAACACAATCTATTAAATAAACAAATTAATTTAAATACAAAAACAAAACAAAAAAAAACTTAGAGCAGTTTTTATTAACAAAAAAAAAAAAAAAAATAAATAAAAAATATAAAAAAATAATGCTTATTGTTGCTTAAATATTAAAAAAAAAATAAGTAAATTATATAGTAAAATTAACAACAAACTGAGAAAACGAGAAAAAAACATTGGTATTATTAATAAAAACAAATAATAAATTTAGTTTAAAAAAAATTTTTACAAAAACAAGTTAATATTAATTAAATAAAAATATGCTAAAAATTAATTGATAAAAACAATTTCTAAAAAAAAATATAAATAAATTTGCAACTAGAAACATAAAAGACAAAAAGCAAACAAACATCCATTAGTTTTATTAAATTAACAACAAAACAATCTAAAAATAAATATTATTTAATACCTTACATACAAAAAACAAATAAATTTATAAAAAAAAAAAATAATAAAAAATATTCTTTAAATAAAAGAACAAGAAAAAAAAACAACAAAAAAATACAAAAATCTTTTTTTTTTTTCTAAAAGAAAACCCAACAACACTCAAACTGTTTGTTTATTTAAAAAACATCTAAAAAAGGGACCCCCTAATTTAGAATTTTTTCCCTTTAACCCTTTAAATTACAACAAATACCCAAACAAACACCCTTTTCAACAAATTTCATACTCATTTCTTTAATCAAAAGGACACCCTAACTCTACCCACATACAAATTGCTAATAAATTAGTTAAGTTTTCTTACAAATATCTTCAGTTATAATAAGATTTTTTCTATAATAATAAATTTTATTATTTTTGCTTATTTAAGGGACACCCTAACTTTATAATTTGGCTTTGAAATGCATTTAATTAAAACAAAAATATATAAGAAAAGCTTTTAAAGCAGAATTTTTAAATTTCTCTAATCAAGGGACACCCTAAGTCTATAAAAATCACAATATGTTTAACAGTTTTACATAAATAATTGATAATTTTCCATAAATTAACAAAAATTTCATATTTTTAATACATTTTCATAAATTTTATAAATTTCTTCTAATATAGGGGACACCCTTTTATAAAAAAAAAACTTCATAAATTTTTCGAAATAAACAGCCTTAAGGAAAGACACAACAAGGAATCGTTTTTTTACGCCAAATAGTCCAAAGTTTTCTTATTTCAAGGGACACCCTAAAACAATGCAAAACCCTATCGAAATTGATGAATCTATAGATCAGATTATAGAATAGCCTATAGATCAGATTATAGAGTAATATATAGTTAGACTCTGAGCCAGTCTATAGATTACTCTGCCGATCAAACTATAAACCAGTCTATAAATCAGATTATAGACCATTTTGTAGATTAGACTAAAGATCAGTCTATAGATTGTACTATAAGTCAGATTATAGATCAATCTTTACATCAAACTATACACCAGTATAAAGACCAAATTGTGGATAATATATTAGACTATCGACCAGTCGGGAAATACCCCGATAGACTAGTTTATAGATTGGACTATAAATCAAAATATAGATCAGTCTGTAGATCAAATTATAAGTAAATAGTCAATAGATCAAACTATGGACCCTAGATTAGACTACAGACCAGATCAGTTTATAAATCGGACTTAAGACTAGTCTATAGATCACATTATAGACCGTACGTAAGACTATAGAACAGTCTATAGATAAGGTTATAAGTCAAACTAAGGATCAGTCTGTAGATCGAACTACAGAGCAGCATACAGATCAAACTCTAGATCATAAATAATTCTACAGACCCAGCTATAGATCAGTCTATTAATCGGAATAAGCACCAGTCTATAGCTATGTTTCTAAACCGTTTTATAGATTATAGGTTAGACTATCAGACTAAATTTCTAATCTGATATACCGGACAAAAGACTAGTCTATAGATCACATTATAGACCGTAGGTAAGACTATAGAACAGTCTATAGATAAGACTATAAGACAGAATATGGATCAGTCTGTAGATCGAACTATAAACCAGCATCTAGTTTAAACTCTAGATCATAGATTAGTCTACACACCTGCCTTTAGATTAGCCTATTAATCGGAATAAATACCAGACTATAGCTATGTCTTTAAATCAGATTAGAGATCAGTCTGTTGATCGAACAATAAACCAGCCTATAGATCAAACCGTAGATCATAGATAACACTACAAATCAGTCTATACATCAGATTATAGATCAGTCTATTAAGCGGAATAAACACCAGACTGTAGCACTGTTTTGGACCGTTCGATAGGCCAGTCTCTAAATCAGATTATATATCAGTCTATACATCAGACTACAGAGCAGTCCATAAATCACATTTTAGATCTGTCTATAATTCAAACTAAAGACCAGTCAATAGATCAAATTATATATCATTCTATAGATCTGATTATAGACCATATGTTAGAACAGTCTATAGATTAGACTATAAGCCAGTCTAGCAATTAGTTTATAGATCATACTATAATCCAATATAAAAACTATAATGCACATCATAGACTAGACTATAAGCTAGACTATATAACAGTCTGTAGATCAAACTATAAACCAGTTTAAATATCATACAACAGACCCTAGATTACACTATAGACCGGTCTATAAATCAAATTATAGATCGGACTATAAGCCAATCTATAAATCAGATTATAGATCAGTCTATAGGTTATACTGTTATCTAATATAAAGATCAGACTATAGACAAAAAAAACACACAATTTATTTTCCCCAGTTTTCAACTTTCACCATTATAAGGGAAACCCTTATAAACCCTTCCTTATAAATTTCTTAAAATGTTTCCCTCTTACAGCTCTTGAGTGTTATGCTATTTGTAAAAAAAAGACATAAATACTTTATTAATTATTTTATAACTTATTGTTTATACATTAAAAAAAAAACAAATAATATAAACAAAACACAAGACAACAAAATAACCTTAATTTTTTTATATACAAATTATAATATTATGTTTTGCAAGCGCAAGTCCAAAAATTATAAAAAAAAACAATTGAATTAAAAAAATTTAATAACATTAAAAATTAAACATCAAAAAACGCTAAATAAAACAACAAATAAAAAACATAAAAAAATTATTCCGTAAAATTAACCACAACAACAACAAAATGAAGAAGAAATTAAGTCAAGAAAAACAAGAAGAAATAATATTATTTAATTAATTACTTAAGTAGGAAATAATTATGAAATTATTGAATAATAATAAAAAAAGAAATTGAATAAATAAAATAAATATGGGTTAAAATGATTACAAAAGAAAAATAAAAACAAACAACAAACAGAAAAAAAGACAAATTTGTGTTTTATTTGGAAAACAAAGTAAGGTTTAACAAAACTAGAACTAAACTGAATTTGAACCGAATAAGAATTGAATAAGTACTGAACTCAAACAGAGCAGAGAGCAGAACTAAAACAAAACTGGAACAGAAGTAGCATAGAATTAGAAAATAACTAGAACAGAAAGAGAGCAGATCTAGAACAGAATTAGAACTGAACTAGAACTAAACTAGAACAGAGCGGAACTAGAACTGAACTAGGACAGAACTAGAACAGAAGTAGTATAGAATTAGAAAAGAACTAGAACAGAAAGAGAGCAGATCTAGAACAGAACTAAACTAGAACAAAACTAGAACAGAACTAGAACAGAACTAGAACAGAACTAGAACAGAACTAGAACAAAACTAGAACAAAACTAGAACAGAACTAACAGAACTAGAACAGAACTAGAACAGAACTAGAACAGAACTTGAACAGAACTAGAACAGAACTAGAACAGAACTAGAACAGAACTAGAACAGAACTAGAACAGAACTAGAACAGAACTAGAACAGAACTAGAACAGAACTAGAACAGAACTAGAACAAAACTAGAACAATACTAGAACATAACTAGAACAGAACTAGAACAGAACTTGAAGAGAAGTAGAACTAAATTAGAACAGAACCAGAACAGAACCAGAACAGAACTAGAACAGAACTAGAACAGAACTAGAACAGAACTAGAACAGAACTAGAACAGAACTAGAACAAAACTAGAACAAAACTAGAACAGAACTAGAATAGAACTAAAACAGAACTAAAACAGAACTAGAACAGAACTAGAACAGAACTAGAACAGAACT